TAAACAGGCTCTGAATATGTTTAATAGTCATCAATATCAGTAAGGGCTATGTTGCTGAATGATGTGTAAACAACGAAAACCGAATAAAGTCAACTTATTTCGTTGCTTTCCCTTTGATTATATAGGCAGCATTGAGTTTGTTTACTCCTGCCAGTAATACAATGTATATCATTATTCTATATACGTACTTATACGCATAAATTATCATAATTGAACACCCCAAATACTGGAGATTTTGAAGTCATGTGACCGGCCGATGCCAGGGCCATTTTCGCTGATCGGAAGCAAAATGCCCTGGGTACGAGGTTGAACTGAGAAAGAAACCTTCCCATTTAATATATTTCACACATTCAAGTGTGTTAGTTACATTTTTCTTACTCAGTTGAAAACAATATTGTAAAAATAGAATAGCACACTACGCACACTACATACTACGCATGTGCATAACCAAAGGATAATAAAACATCATAAGTCCCACAATCGTCAGACGCATATATACAGCAATAAAAGATCTAAATATTTCATTCAATGTTAAGACCGTACTTTTTAGGATCATTTCTATAGTATGTGTCCCGTCTTTGTTCTCTAACATAGACAACATTCACAACCACGATGATGAGTGGTAGTGTTTTCTTCTGAGCGGGAAGCAGATTACTGATGTTGCTCTTATGGTAACATTTGGTAATCATTGATGACCGTTCCCTTGGGAGGAAGAAAGCGCATTCTGAGTGGTTTCTATTGTTCAATAGTAGTAATGCCATTTATAAAATGAATGTGTACATGCAGTTGGATTAGCTTTGGATTATGCAGTGGATGAAAGAAAGCACAAGTTTGATATGCTAAATGTACTCAAATCTCTGTTTTTCTGATACACTTTAATGCCGATGTCATGACGTACTACAGCACAGGGAAATGGGATAGAAATTGAGACTTGCGGACATATATTGGACCAGGAATAATATAATATACCACTTAGTGTTTGCATTTCACGTGCATGGTTTTAAACACATGTACAGAGGTAGAAGAGAACGTTTCTGGAGATCATGTTTAAAATTTTCTCTTCATGCATGTTTTTACACGGTCGAATATTAATTTTCAAAATTATTATTTAAATCTTCCATTTGAGATTTACATCAATTGCATGCGCAAATGAAAGCTCATGAAACTATAGTAGATGGATATACGTGATTCTTATAAAGTAATTCGTATTAAGCAAAGGCGAAGAATGAATTATGATCCCAAGATGCCTGGATTAAAAATTTGCTGGAAAGTATTATTCCTAGTGAGAGTTTATTGTTTGTTAGTTACGTTTGTCTTACTCAGTTGAAAACAATGTTGTAAAAATAGAATAGCACACTACATACTACGCATGTGCAAAACCAAAGGATAATAAAACATCATAAGTCCCACAATCGTCAGACGCATATATACAGCAATAAAAGATCTAAATATTTCATTCAATGTTAAGACCGTACTTTTTAGGATCATTTCTATAGTACGTGTCCCGTCTTTGTTCTCTAACATAGACAACATTCACAACCACGATGATGAGTGGTAGTGCTTTCTTCTGAGCGGGAAGCAGATTACTGATGTTGCTCTTATGGTAACATTTAGTAATCATTGATGACCGTTCCCTTGGGAGGAAGAAAGCGCATTCTGAGTGGTTTCTATTGTTCAATAGTAGTGCCATTTATAAAAAGAATGTGTACATGCAGTTAGATGAAAGAAAGCACAAATTGAACTGCTAAATATGCTCAAATCTCTGTTTTTCTGATCCACTTTAATGCCAATGTCATGACGTACTACCGTGGGGAAAGGGGATAGAAATTCGGACTTGCGGATATTGGGCGACGAATAATATGCCACATTCAATTCAGTTTTATCATCTGTTTAGTTTTATTCACTTTAGTTTTATTTTGCATATTGAGAAGTTTATTTATGGTCATATTTGTATTTCTCTCAGTCTCAGAATTTCTCAGTTCAGTTTTGAACAAAAGATCATAAGGATTTCTATTGTGTTGGCTTACTTCCGGATCGCGCGATACGTTATTTATTCACTGCATTTATCATTCAATACTTTTCAAATTTAGCTTTTACCCATCTTATAATGGAAGGTATTACCGTGGTAACAAACAGACAGTTATCCCAGTCACATCCAATATTTCGACTACTCGCTCCACATTTTTTGTTTCTTTTGGCTATAAACAGGTATGTTGTCTTTCATACCATTTTTATTGAGGATACATTGTAGTGATTTATGTAAGGAAAACACATCTGCCTTATTATACATGTCAGTATAAAGCTATATTTCAAGCTGAGAAAACCCCACTAGTTAAAACTTAATTATTCAATTCTAACTTATTTTACAAAAATGCCGCCCAAAATATAGTGTATGCCAAACAACTATTTCACATTGTGTGTTGTTACGTCACTTGAACAGGCTGAATAAAAGATGTTAGATGTGTAACAATATAGGTTTTACCACAGGGTTTCACCTTCATGCAGCAAGACACTTACCCCGGAACATTGCCGAGTCATAATATATAAATGTTTTTAGTTTTTGTTATTCTATAATGCGGCCTACGAGATGGCTGGGTGTGGGGCTCCCCAATATGTATAATTATTGCTCACTGTATAATTATTGCTAATCGTAGCACTTAACACTGACCCTAACCCATGAACAGTGAGACATCAGTCTAAATCAGACAGGAATATCCGCTAATGGTGCCAGCCATTACTTTTGCCACTTAAAATGCGAATCACTTCGCATGACGTATAATTCTCAGGTGACTGCAAGATCTGAATAGTCCATTCCGAAAAATTATGAAATTATCAAATGTCAAAACATTTTTGTCAAACACGTGAATTATTGTCAACTTGCAGTCGAGCTCTGGCAAAACTTGTTCAACCAGGAGGTTGGGTTGACACATGTATGACAGTTGGTGCTGTTGGATTGATGAACATAATAAAGACGAAGTGAGTATCCCCCATTTCAATTACAGCACTTTTCCCTTACATATGTGAAAACGTTTTGTTCCAAATTCCCTCCTATATTCTTCTCTGGAGGTCACATTGTGCTAAGATTAAAGATTTTCACCATAACACCCAGCCTGATAATAGGAGAATGTCCTACTCTTGAACGGATAGATACAAAACCACACGTTTTACAAAACCACAATGTTCTCTCACTAGATATTCTTGTTAATTAAGGTTTGCTTCTTGGAAAATGAATGTCGATGGCTGGCTTCCAAGGGATTTAAAAAAGAGAGGGGTAGGAATATACGTCTACTGAGATGTCTTTGTTTTGAACTACATGATGTAATACGTTCGAATTTTAATTTCGATCACAAAATAGGCAAAGAAACAAAAACAACAGCCAAGCTTCTCCCAGTGATTTCTCCTCGCCTCCAAAAACTCGCCTAACACAAGAAAACCTCTGAACCATGCAGGGTAGTGCAACCCTGCAACAGTATCAAAAACAACAAACAACTACCAACCAACAGATTCAGTTATATTATATATCGAGCTTCACTCGCCCTGAAATTCACTCCTAATGAATTATCCAACACTACGAAGTTATCGAAACAACTTTATTAATCACCACTAATCCAATTTGTCCATTGGTTTTAGGTTGCAGATAAGGATGCTTTACCTTACTATCCTTACAGAGATGATGCACTTCTCTTACACAAAGCCATCAAAAGTTATGTCAAGGAGATAGTGAATGCATATTATGGTACTGATCATATAGAATTTTTGCCAGAGCTAGGACACAATTAAACTGATGTTGTATTTTTTGAAGATATCTTTTGACTAGTTCAAACACTACATATTTTAGACACCACTGAAAAGCTAACAAACGATTATGAAATTCAAAACTGGGCAAATAGCTTGGTCGACGAGGAAGAACTGGGACTAAAGGTAAATGGAAAGCATGATTGCATAATACCATAAAACAATTGAAATAAGCATAAAGTTGTTATATGCTGCTTCTGCAGCATCCTGGATCATTTGTTTTTACCGACATATATGAAAATTCTAAAAATCTGGTGAAATAAGAGACCATAGTAAAAATAGAATTCTTGCCAATTATAACTATCTATTGTATAATATGAAGATAAATACAGCATCATAACCATCATCCCGGTATCTCCTCAAGGGTTTCGCTAAATCTTGGTTGATAATGTCTCTTTCCAAATGACCTTTAATTGCGCATAGTCATTCTCCATTTTCCTTTCTTTTCATTACCCGAAAGGTAGTTTGATGTGACTTCTGTGTTCTAACATGCATGCTCTGACTATTTCAATTTTCCTTCTCGTTTTAATATTTTAATAAACCACATGTTTGTTCCACATTTTCATGTTCGTTTCTATAGGGTGTTCCAGGGAATGGTAAATTCACGACCACTAAACATCTTACTAAGGTTCTAACATCAATTATCTTCATGGGAAGTGTTGGTCATGCTGCAGCCAATTTTTCTCAATACGATGACTACGCATTCCCAGCGAATTATCCTGCATTTCTACGAGGAAACCCGCCAGAAGACAAGGTATTATTAATCGCTAAATTTCTAAACTGTAAAGTTAATAATATCAACGAGATAAGGGTTATTATGTTTTTTGCAGCAATATACGATTTCAGGCTTAACAAACAAGACTTCCTCATGCAGCTTCGTATGCAAATTATTTTCAGTAACTTTTAACCACTCTTCTTATTTATGGCAATTATACTTGCATATATGTGGATGAACGAAAAAATGCGTAAAGAGTTATGAGAAGCAGATATAACCATGCAGGGGGGCGGGAAGCGAGGAGGCGGGTGGTGTAACACCATCAACTCAGAAACTCAGAAAATTCAGGTAAAATACAAGTTAAAGTTTTGACAATTTCAGCTAAAATTTGGGTAAAAAGTCGTTACATGTTTCACATAATGTTAAATCTGATCATTTTTGTAAAATATGGTCAATTTGGACGCAACTCGCTTGCAAATTCGCTTCCGAAATGCTGTCCTGGGGCTTAAGATGCAAAAATATTCTTGGCGAGGACATGCACCCAGATCCCCCCATTAACAACTTAGTATTACAGTTATAGTTATCAGTCAGAAAAAGGTATATTGCAATTATTACACTTCAGGTAATTTTTTAACATTGAAGAACCAATTTCAGTTAAAATTCTTTGCAAGAAAACGAACAAGTATGGTTATGTCAATGTAATATTACGTGAAGTTTAGAAACTATTTGTCCTGTATAAGGTCTACATAAGTAAAACTAAAGTAAATTACGTAAACTAAATTTAGGCTGTCTGTAGAAATACTTATTCAAGACAGTTTTCTTTACAGACTGCAGATGTCTCAGATGAAGAAGTATTGCAACATCTACCAAAAAAGGACATGACTCTAAGCATAGCAGCTATTACAAAGTTACTGAGCGATCGTGGAACAAATAACCTTGGCTGTTTTGAAAAGAAATACATGTTTGATCCTATTGGAGAGGCAGCACACTCCAGGTATATATTAACCACATTAACGTTACCATAAAGTCTGAATTGACTTCATGTTATAATGAGCCAATCGACTTTCGCTTTCATAGCGCGACCGAACAGCTTTCACCACAGAAATCCAACTGAAGATTGGTGGTTTTGCAGTAAAAGTTAATGATTTCGGTATTCCGTTTATTTTTAAGTGGGAAAAATGTGGTTGGTGTCAATTTATTGTATCAGAACGCCATTGAAGACAATTTTTCTGTTCAAACTTGTTGATTTCCTAGTTGAGTTTTTGTTCACCTGCCTATTCTAGTTTGCAGCGTTAATCTCAACTTTCTATGTAACAAACTGGCGCCAGCACGCGCCATGTCGTCAAAACAACGTTAGTAGTAGTAATGCAGAGCAATAAAGCATCATCTTGGAGTTTAAATAAAATCTTGATAACTGCAGAGAAGTGTTTGGTATGTTTGACGATCTTCAGTTCAGAGGTTTTGGGGCTTAGACCACAAATGCCAGAAACATTATCCCGTTTAAACAGGATCAGAGTCAAACAGGAATATAGTGGATCTTAAGATGGAATAGCAAATATCAAGATCCACTATTGCGGTTGTACAGAGTAGAAACAATTGTAATTAAATTTCAATCCTTAATTTAACAACCACTTGAAAGCTAGGCGCTTTTGTCCATCTGCATTTCGCTCTGAGCAAATTGGAGCATTAAGCAACCTGATTAAATAATACCTTACCTTATTCTATCTTTGTTTATATTTTCTGCTACTTAGCTTAATTAATAGTAATGTGTTTTCTGTCGTTTGTAGGTTTCTGACAAAATTAGAAGAAATTAGTGATATTATCGCAAAACGAAACGAAACAAGGCCAGAAAAGTACCCTTACCTAGATCCGAAAGAAGTACCAAATGCAATTAGTATTTGATAAATTAAAAAATAACCAAATAGCATGGTTACGTGTATTTTCTGCCACTAGATGCATTCGAACAGTTTGCATTCATCGTTATGAGATTTCCGCTTATTAAGCTGCCTGCAGGCTTAATGCATGATTTACTAGTTACCCAACCAATCATGTTGTATGAGGTTTTTAATCATGTCTTCAATGGCATCATTACCGGTACCACCAGAAATGACAAAATACGCTCTTACTGAAATTTACCGGTCAGACAGAAATATTTATAAACTGGTGCCACTTATTTTACGAATTGTTCGGTTTGTAACGAGTGGACAAATTTGGCAAATCGAATGACTCGTCAGATGTTTGATCATCATGTGGCAAAGTATTAATTAGGTGAAAGACGAAACTCGTATCAAATAACGGATTGTACGACCCGTACAACCCGTACAATCCAATTTTACAACTCGTACGACCCGTTTCCATGCGGCAGTATTGGACATGTGTGGGATGCGAGGACGAAGGCCGACGCGTTTAACACGTATTTCACCACCATTTTCAACGCTGATACATCAATACCCAATAACCTTCCCTCCTCCCCATACACGAACGATGTCGTATCGACTCTCGAATATTCCCACGAAGAAGTATTGTCCCCTCTCAACTCGAGCGAAACACCTGGACCGGACAATCTTAATCCGAGAATTCTGAAAGAATTTGCAAACGAACTAGCACCCTCCTTATGCTTAATAATTCAACAAGTCATTACGTATGGGTAAGTTCCAAGTGATTGGAAACAGGCGAACATAACACTAGTGTTTAATTTAAACTAGGGATCCAAGGATAGTGTGAAGTTTCAAATTGAAATCAAGACACTGCAAGAACTATATAGGTTCGCTGACAACCTAGAAAAGCTGATCGATGGCTTACACTACGAAATAAACAATTACCAAAGGCATTTCATCTT